AGATTCCTATAACGTGGAAAAAAATTGCAACAGTATTCGTATAAGGATGCTAAAAGAAACTCATAAAATGTCGTCACCGACTCGTGTCGCGACAGGATTGGTCGAATCTGGACCAATAGTGGATGAGCAGCCAAACTACTTTACGTTGTCCAGCGCCACGCTACGGAGAGTTTAGGCAGGTAAATTGAGTTTACTATCGTCTGTACAGTATTATATATAAATTAGGTACTGTATATATAATTATATATTAACTTAATGTATTGTAACTTTATTATCTATATCTATCTATCTATCTATCTATCTATCTATATATATATATAAAAATGGACGTGTGTGTCCCTATATGTCACTTTTCAGCCAAAACTACACATCGCACATGAATGGTGTTTGTATGTGGTAGTAGCCCCAAGTCTCCATTCGTGCACTATGGTGCTTGCATCTCGATAGCTATAAGGGTGCGGGAGATATGGGGGCTTAAAGTGGTTGACATCGAAGATTTTCTATTTTGATTTTAAAAATGTTCACACCATTTTAAATTTGAATTTGTATTCGAATTCGAATTGATTCGATTATAGAACGATTGTAAACGTTCCAGAAAATTGATCAAATTGAAAATAGTTCATTTGACTGGACGTAAAAATTTTCTAATTAGTCTGGAAACAGGGGACCTAATTCTTGCATTCTGTGCTATAAGGGTTTGGGAGATATGGGGTTGAAAGTGGTTGACTTCGAAGATGTGTAACAATGGAAGTGTTAACAGTGGAAGTGTTAACAATGGAAGTGTTGAGTAACAAAGGAAGTATTAATATAAAGTGGCAGGCAAGATTTACAGGCGGTTTATTGCAAACATATTTTTAGACTCACGTAAAAATTCTCTAATTAGTCTGGAAATGGTGGACCTAATTCTTGCATTCTATGAAAACGGGTAAGATTGGCTATAATGTAATTATCTTAATCTTCAATATTGTTACTTTTTGCCCAGCAAAGCGGGTCCTTGCAGCTAGATTCTAGATTAATTAGAAAAACAGTCTTTTATATATATATATAAAAAAACTATATTACAAATGTACGAACAAATAAAAACCCAGCAAAGCGGGTCCTTGCAGCTAGTTGTTTATATAATATAGGATTTATATAATTAGTGTTCATATATTTTGAAAAATCAAATTATGTACAGGTATCCCTCGATTTAATGCAGTTAATTAATCTCTTGATCCTTTTGCATATATGAAAATCACATTAATCAAAGTATGGTATCTGTGTCGAGTAAAGACGACTGGTAAAACAACATAAATTAAAACTTCTGCCACATATGTGAAGGGATTGCCGAAATTAATTTTGAGTGTTAATCAAATCCTACACTGAGCAAAACTGTGTTAAGCAAGAGATACCTGTAATTGTATAAGTACCAAATGGATAAAATTTGAATGTTTATTTTTAAAATTTAAAATATTTGAACGAACTGCTCAAAGACTTATTTTTCTGTTTATTACATTAATTACATAAATTATTTAATTATATAAATAAATTGATTATTATTATAGTGTTATATTATATTGGTATATTAATATAATTAATATTATAATATTGATATAATATATATATATATATTAAATATTGATATAGTTAATATTATATTGATATTGACTGACTAGATTCTTTTATTTTACAGGGTTTGAGACGCTGTGTTCGTCTGTTATTAGATAATGGAGCACTTTGGCATCAGAAAGATATTTATGGTGTAACTCCATTGCACTTAGCTGCAAGAGCCTCTTCTCCAAAATGTTTAGAATTAATTAGTAAAGAAGTACAGTTTGGTCAAACAGATATTGAAGATAGCAGTAAGGTTAGGTTTTAAATAATCATTTAAAATATTATTAATCCTTATACAGTAAACACTCTTATCCATCAGGTTATAGGATATGATACAGTATGATACAATATATACATTTATTTATAAGTGTGTGTATGTCTTTTCAAGAAACTGAAAATTTTTAATACAAGATACAAGTATATATTTAAGAAAGTCAGAAATGTTTTGTTTTCTTAAAAGACTCATTTTTTTTTCAGTTAAATTCTTCATTTTTTTATAACATTAAAATATGTGTTTGATCTGCCTCTTGCTTGTCATACCAAGAAATGCAATTATTTAGCATCTTTTCTGCTTCACAGTGGCTAGTGACATGGTTTATATTGGACTATTAACTGTATTCTCTCTCATTTCTCATTAATTAATTTTATTAAAATAACATAAGTTACATTTCCTGATTTCGCTGAGCATTATCAGGATTTAAAAACACTAAGTAATTATGACAATGAATACAGCATAAATAACAAGCATTAAGAGCAAAATTGTACAATGAAGGGATGGCAACAAGGATATTAAACAATGGTAGATACAGAGTAATTACATGCACAGAGTTTAGAGTATACATCAAAGAAGACTGCCTTTAAAGCCATCACAGATATTTTTATATAACGTAATATGCATAAGGATGCCCGACAGCAAACATCATACATTATAGTTGATTGAATGTATACAAGTGTAATATACAATATACTCAAAATGAATTGTAACAGGTGCAACAGAGAATATAAGAACATAAAATACAGTAACTACTAGAAGTATCTAGTATAGAGCAATGGTTACAAGGTAATATATACAGGCATAATATATATTTATACAAGTAAACATTTTATGAAAAAATAAGATAGTGTAAAATATACAGTAACAATTAAAAGTAAGGCTAGGACTCCACTACCGTAAAAACGGCGTAAAAACCCCTCGCCGTAAAAGCTTTTAATCACGTGACTCTGATATCTTACGCTTGAGCAGGCCGTAAAACCAGCGTAAAAGCGAGTTGAGCTATGTTCAACTTTCGACGTGAATACGGCCGTAAAGAGGTACCTTCCACCAATCAGAAAGTCAGCGAAATCTAGGTCATCGCGACACGGAGCTAAAATGGTGGAAAACGAGCTTTTGTGTACGTTCCCTCGTGGCTACTCTAGAATAGATCCGGAAAGATTTATCGAAAACATCCAAAAGTATTCGTGTATCTATGACAAGAGGTAACCTGATTATAATAACGGATACCAAAGGAAATCCTTCAATTTAGAGGAGTATATAATAAAAAAGCTAAGTTTATAAGTGCTGTATATTATCTTAATAATACAATAATAAAAGTTAGTATATGAAAGTAAAGATATTATTTTTACTACATTTGTAATTATAGTACAGAAAAAACTCGTAGAATATAATCATTGTCTTTATATCGATACATCACGTATACAACAGTCTTTCGTTTCTACCAATTCACGTGCGAAGAAGTATTTACTTTCGACACTTGGGGCAGCACCGTTGCCGTAAAAACTTTGCGTTAGCCGGACCTCCACCGTAATCCGAGCGCAAACGCAAATAGGTCACGTGATTAAAAGCTTTTACGGCAAGGGGTTTTTACGCCGTTTTTACGGTAGTGGAGTCCTAGCCTAACAAAGATAAAATAAAATTAGAATCATAACAATTAAGTGCAAGTTAACAAATTATAAAAGAAGCAAACAGCAGAAGTGCAAAAATATCATAGATGATACATATCATATAGAAATGAGTATATATACAAACTATAATATATAATAATAAGACAATATAGTATAAAGAAGTAACAATCATTTGCACCAAAGTACTTATGTTTTGGCCACAAGAAAATCTGCTAGTAGTTGAGCAATGGAAGTTGAACAATGTTTTCAACACCACTGAACTCCGCCAAGCATATGTGCATAATATTCCGACACAGTAAGACCCACCATAAGTTGAAGGATTATCTTCATGCTGCAGAATTTATATTCACTAGAAGTTGAAGAAACTACATCCACACCACAATTATTTCAATAGCAAGGAAACTACTGTAAATCACAGAAATTTCAACCACACAGCTATAAACTGGTAAACATCGAGACGATCATACCTAGACGATCACATTACAATGGCGCACCAGAATAGAACACATAATATAATACACAAGTACACCACAAAGCATGGATTGATGTAGAGTTGATGCAGAAAACAGTCCAGTAGAAAAATGTAAGTTCCTTCCAGTTTCAGTAAAATCAAGCAATTACAATAAATGTAATAACATGTATCAACTTCAAACACGAACTGTTGTAGCATGACAAAAATAGTTTCACCAGGTATTACCACAGAGAAACAGTAGCAGTGCGTCAAGTATATCTCCACCAGTAGAAACCACAGAATTACCCAGAGTGTCAGCCACAAGAAAATGTACACAAAGATGCCAAGTATACTACTGCAACAACTAAAGTCCAGCAAACACAATAACCACCAATAACACAATATGCTTAAAGTGGTATGGCATTAGCACAGTGTGCAGTCCAATTAGTAGTATATACATTCCCACTAGTCACAGTAAAGTCCAGAAGAAAGTGAAAAAGAATTTCTTCTTAAGTGACATTTGTTCTGTAGATGTGCAATTATGACCACAAGGTGCAAGACCAAAAGTGAAAAGCCAGGAAACTATCGTAATCTACAATCTGCTGCAGTTGAATTTTAAACAAACCACAAGATCCCTAAGTTTAAGTGAGGAGATCACTTCCAACACCAGAAGATTTAAACAAGGATGAGAAAAGCAGTGAAGGATACAAACGAGAAATCAAATTAAGCCTTACCAAGTGTATACTATTAACAACGTGTTAATTTTCTAGAAAAGGACATTAAGAAATTATTGTAACTCGAAAATACTTTTCAAATATCTGAACAAGTAAATTGTAAGTTTCCTTATCTGAAGTAAGGTCTTGAGCATCACACGGCTAAGAACAATTTTTACTTGTTAGAAGAGTGTGTAACTGATGTCTTTCAATCTCAGTCATGAGGCATTCTAAAATATAATGGAAACTACTGTCAATGGTATTGCAAACAGGACACAGACTGTTATTACGCAAGGTAAAGCGAGCAAGATATGAATTAAAACAGCCATGACCGGTGTAAAATTGTATAGAGTGGTGAATAACTTTAATCCAAGTGTTCTGCAAAAATTTCAATATATCAGGAAAAAACTGTTTCATAACTGAGGTGTTGGCATCCCAACTATGCTGCCACTCCACAAGCAAATCGTTCCAAAGGACCTTTTTCAGCAGTTTTGTTGAAATCATATTGTAACTGATAGAGATGTTCTGGTCAGCTGCTGCCATTTTAGCAAGTTAATCTGCCCGATCATTGCCGTAGTCATTACAATGTGATTTCATCCAATTAAAATAATACTCATTATCAGACTCAATTAACAGTCTTTGAATACTAAAGACCAGAGGATGAACAGACTTCCTCCGAATTGTAGAGAGAGAAGACAGTGAATTAGTAATGATTGCAATTTTGGCATTATTGAGAGCCCATTCACACCACTCGATCGCCTGTAAAATAGCATATAACTCTGCCTGAAAAATGCTACAAAGTGGACCAAGCCTAAAAACATTATAGTAAATTTCAATATTGTTGCAAAAAGCAACGAAATTAGCACCAGCATGACAGTCACATTTCGAACCATCAGTAAAAATTTTAATGGCACATCTAGTAGAAGGAGCCTCAATAAATCTGATGTTAGTGTAGGGCAGGGGTTGCCAAACTTTTTTAACTGTCGACCCCCAACCACTTTCCATAACCTCACATTGACCCCCACTAAAGTTTTATTATAAGTGTAAGTGTATGAGCAAAATAAAAAAATGTTCTGATCTCTGATATCTGTATAAGCAAAAAATAAAAAGGTTGTAACCCATTGCTGCATCGACTCCCTAATCGACCCCCTAGCTGCATTGACCTCTGGGGGTCGATATAGACCACTTTGGCAACCCCTGGTGTAGGGGCTAAAAGTGTCTTTATAAGGAATATTTTTCTCCCAGCTTTTCTTGGTGAAGGAGTTTGACATAGAGGTAAGGTAATTACCACATTTGACTTTCCAAATTTTTTGTAAGTAGTTAATGTATTTCTCAATAGGTGGCTTGCGAGCAAGCACTTGCAAGCTAGCATTAGCCATGGTTCTGTATGCTTTGGTTATCATTAACAAAGCTCTATGTTGTGCCGAGATCAATTTGCGTTTTTGATGTACCTTATCTGTGGCAGAGCCCCAAATGCCACAGCCATAAGTGTGAACAGGTAGAAAAATGCTATCATATATCGTTCCCATAGCCAGGCCACTAAGGCCCCAAGATGACCTGGCAACCTTGGCAAAAGCGTGCATAATATGCCCTGTGTGCTTAGTGATATAATGAATATGGTTATTCCAGGACAGCTGATGGTCTAATAATATGCCAAGATATTATCTTTAATTTTATCTTGAGTACGGGTAATATCTAATGTGTATAACCGGTAATGCTCAATGTGGGGCTGGTCTGTACTATATTTGTACAACAATGAATGAATGAATATGCCAAGATATTTAAGTTCTTTCACCACCTTTAGACTCTTACCGTTCATCCTAAGAGTTGGAACATGTGCATATAAGTTTCATTATCTTGGCTTATTAAAGACAATAGCTTTACTTTTATTCGTATTAAACCAGAATTTATTCGTTATGCCCCATTCATATATCTTCTTCAATGCACGATTCTCTTTGTATTCCAAATCAGCATGTTACTGCCCACTGAAAAGAACGAAAACATCATCCACATAGGCCAGGGGTCGCCAAATTTTTTTAACCGTTGACCCCCAAGCACTTTCCAAAGCCTCACATTGACCCCCACCATAAAGTTTTATTACAAGTGTATGTGTATGAGCAAAAAGAAAAAAAACATGGTCTCTGTTGTAAGCAAAAAAAAAAAAAGTTTGTGACCCCTTAGCCACATCGACCCCTCAATCGACCACCTAGCTGCATCAACCCCCTAATCGACCCCTAGCCGCATCGACCTCACAATGATGTTGCATCGACCCCTGGGGGTCGATATCTGCCACTTTGGCGACCCCTGGCATAGGCAATCATGGCATCCTACCCAAAGTACTGGCAAAGAAATATATCGAAAAGTAACATCGAAAAGTAAAGGTCCGCAAATGGAGCCTTGTGGGCCCCTTCTGAAGACTTTATGTTGGAAAGAAAAGAATATACATTTGGAACTTGTTAATACATTCATTTTGGATTCATAATTTTCCAAGAAAAATTGGACCTGAAGCAGATCCAAAAAGGGAAGGATCGAAAATGTTAGTCCGTTTCTACTCACATGTTACATTGGAGTTACACAAGGGTTCTCAAGTGTATATTATCAGGTAAACAATAATTTATTACAGATTGAAGGTTTGGAAAAAATATTGCCCAAAGGGCTGGATGTTAAGAGAAAGTATGGAATGATGCCATAAAATTCCTCTGTAGATAAATAATTTTTTAACAGAAAGAATATGGCAATTAAATGCAATTTTCTCGTCAAAGAGAAGCCACCAGGAGTTTATTTCACACCAACAGAACATAACAATAAACAATATTTCTAATTTTTTGTTTTAGTATGATACAGTAAAACTCGTGTAAACCAGAATTACACAATACCAAATATTTTATCTGGTTTGGCAGGTTCTTTTTATCAGGTTCCATTTTGGACAGATTTTATTGTATTAGTTTTAACATTATTTGCGTTTTTGTATCATGCAATCGCTGGATAAGATGATAAATATAGGATGATTATAAAGTCTCAGTCCATTTTTGTGAAAATGGTAACAAATTCGTTTGTTTGCAAATTGTGAAGCTGCTGACCTAAGAAAAGAGAACTGCTATGCCTTTGCTTAAAATAATCAAACACCTTAGTATTTCCAGCAACGAAGTATTTAATAAAATAAAAACGTTTTCTACTATATTTAATAGTCTTCTTCAGTTAAGCCACTTTAAAACAAAAACGAATGTAAAATAGAACGCAAGCAATACAACAGTTTAAAAATTGAAAATTAATTACAACAAAATAAAATAAAATGTAAAAAACAAAATTAAATTTTGTTTATGTTTATATTAAGCACCAAGTTTGACCTTAGATTAATCAGGAACACGTGTCAACCCGCTCGCCGTCTTAAAACTCGATTGTTACGATTTTCAAACATTCATACACATCAAACNCATGCGAAAGATAGACTTTCTGCGTCTCTATGGTTGATGCATCCTTTGTTAATATGGGCCTTGTAACTTTCAAGTTTTTCAATATGTTTAAGTACTTGTTTATTGGTGGCTGTACTAATTATGGATGCTTTGTCCCAATGTACATTAATATCTTGATGTTTAGTGAAGGCTGCAAGGACGGTGCTGTCCACGTTTTTAGTAATAGAATACTTATGTTAAGCCTCTGTTTTAAAAGTCTCATAGTGACACCAACATAAACGAGATCTGAATTAAAATGGCGGTTACTCAAAGGAATAGAATAAACTCCTGTACTATAAATGACATACTTGTATATGCAAGATATGTTGATAATGTTTTCATCATTTGGAGGAATAGTGATAGCACTCAATATTTCCTTAACAAAATGAACAACAACCCATATGGTGTGACTTTATCATTGGAACAGAAAAGTGATATTAATGTAAATTTTCTGGATCTGTCCATAACTTGTAAATATGGGGAAATTTGGACAGATATTTATCGAAAGCCTAGCTTTCTACCTATTATTATACCGAAGAATTCCTTTGATCCTCAGAATTTTAAGAATGCAGAGCTTTCGATCATAGATAAAGTGGGCCTATAGCCACTGTACGAGTATGTTTGGCACACATAAAGAATTAAATTACATATGTACAATAGCTGTACAACAGGGATATCGTATAAGTGAAATTAATGCTCTTATTGGTAAATTTTGTAATCAAACAAATAAGCAACCTACAACTAAGAACCAAGGACAAAGAGCAGTTCTCAACTATATACCTTTCCTGCAATTGATGATTAAAAAAATTATCTCACAAGAATAATTTAAGAGTTATTTATTGTCGTAATCCTACGATTTATAGAATTTTACAAAATGATAAGAAGAAAGGAAACCGTAACAATAGTACAGGAGTTTATTCTATTCCTTTGAGTGACCGCCATTTTAATTCAGATCTCGTTTATGTTGGTGTCACTACGAGACTTTTAAAACAGAGGATTAACATAAGTATTCTATTACTAAAAATGTGGACAGCACCGTCCTTGCAGCCTTCACTAAACATCAAGATATTAATGTACATTGGGACAAAGCATCCATAATTAGTACAGCCACCAATAAACAAGTACTTAAACATATTGAAAAACTTGAAAGTTACAAGGCCCATATTAACAAAGGATGCATCAACCATAGAGACGCAGAAAGTCTATCTTTCGCATGGAAATCTTTTTACCACGATGATTAATTTTCTTAATACTTTATTTAATTTAATTCTTTACCACAATTAATTTTCTTAATATTTTATTGTAATTTAATTTTGTTTTTTACATTTTATTTTATTTTGTTGTAATTAATTTTCAATTTTTAAACTGTTGTATTGCTTGCGTTCTATTTTACATTCGTTTTTGTTTTAAAGTGGCTTAACTGAAGAAGACTATTAAATATAGTAGAAAACGTTTTTATTTTATTAAATACTTCATTGCTGGAAATACTAAGGTGTTTGATTATTTTAAGTATTTATATTCCAGTAAGTTATTTTATTTTATTTTTGTTAGCCTTTGTTCGAGTGAATTAACGTACATGGAAGTACTGTCAAATCCTCCTGATCTGTCGCCTTCGAGAGATGGTGATGCATTGCTTGGCAGTGGCATAGTTACTTTCTCCCCTTAGTTTCTGTAACACCTGGACATGCTATGTTTGTTTGTAATGAAGGCTCTCCCACACTTGGAAGTGGGGTTGTGGCACAGTGAGTATCTGGCTTAATCTTCTGGTCGATAACGTAGCCTTGTGTTATTGTAGTTTCTACACATTGAGCCGTTTCGTCTGGTACTGTGGATTTCCCAGAATGTTGTGCATTGTACACATTACTCATTCACCGTAATTTGTTAACCAACAGTCTGATATCAGCCTCGATAAGAGCAGACTTCTCAAATTTTGGGAACAGCCGTCGCGGTTGCAGTTGTCTGCTTGGCTGGAAATTGCATGATGTGATCACGGCTTTAGTGAAAGTTTGGTAATGATAACCAAACTCATTGGTCAAATTGTAGTGAATGATCCAGATTTTGAAAGGAGGGTAAAAGCAAGACGAGGTGTTTTGAATGTGATCCCTTGCTATCGACATTTGCTAAAAAATAAAAAAAGCAACAAATGAAACTATACGATTTTATCACAAAAAACAAGAATTTCAGAAAAGCCAGGACCTTCATCACAAAAAATGAACTTTACATTTCTGTGTGCATATGTTTGTCTTATTTAACATATTATTATGCAAATTAATATAAAAACAACTTAAAATTAAAGTAAAATCTGTTTATTTTTGGTTGCATGGTCCCCTTTTCTTATTTACTTTATGTTAAAATGACCTTGTTTAACAATGTTTTGGTTAGCACTTTTCATCTAGAATGCATCAGATACAGTAAGACCCTGCGTTAAGTGGGATCTTACTGTATCTTTATGTTTATCCTATATATATAATTGATAATAATTGCAACTTGTCAATATAAATTTATATTACTGTAAAGAATAAATTAAAGTTATTTTAAATATTATTTATTTTAGAAAACACCTCTTCATTGGAGTGCAGCATTTGGCAATGCCAAACAAATTAAAATTCTTCTCAAAAAAGTAAGAAATTTTCTTTTCTTAGATCTTTTCTATTTTATTATAATATTCAATATCATAAAACAGTAAAGGCGTGACTATCATATGATTTAACATTACTGTTGGTTCATTCATTCTAAATGAAATAAATAAGTAATTGTGATTGACTGTCATAAATTATATGCAATAATAGATATTTCTGAAATGAATAGTTTATGACAACTGATTAATAATTTGCTTAACTACTAAATTGTCTATAACAATAAGGCAGTAAGTGGTATTATGATGTTATAGTATCAAAAATTCATACTAAATGCTTAGTATGTGCTTATAAAATTTTTTTGAAAAAGAGTTTTAAATCTGAATGTAGAAGAAATTGTCATTGTGAAACTCTTTCTAGAATAAATTTTCTGAAACTTAGTTAAAAAATATAAGTAAAAATGGAAATGTTCTGGCTGTGTTCATGAAAAAAGCAGGGTATTTGAGTCTTCTGGAATTAAAAGTAATGTTAATCCTGTGCCTGCATTGTATGTAGGCACAAGATTAATGTACAGATATAATCCCCGTGAGTTTAAAATCTCAATCAGCTACAACAGAGCACCATAGCTCTATTGTAGCTGATAAGATAATTCTCAAAGATGAAAGGTTCCAGAGAGACTTAATCTACATAGGTTAGACCATAAGTTCCTTTAACCTAATTGATGGCAAAATTTTTCTCCATTGCGTGTTGTGCCATAATGAATGTTTGTCGATGTTAAACCTAACGAAAATTACACATTTTTGAAAAAAATAAGTGTGGTTATTGTATTGTCCAAAACTATTTTTTTATTTTGCACAAACAAAATAAATTTATTAATAAATGTAGAAACAAAAAAAATTATATTTCAGAAGTTAGTTTTAATATAAAAATTATAATGACTAGCGACATCTAGTTTCAAAAACGTTCTGATGCTGAAACGAGATATCTCGGGTCAACCAGGTTGCGATCCGAGATATGTTGGGAATAACACAGGACAGGTTAAAAAGCTCTTAACCAAACACAGAGCCAATATAGATAAAGGCATGTAAACCACTGCCCTCTCAATATATTTGGGGCAGGATGAAATTAAATCCAATTTACAATAGGCTACGTTAATTAGAACGACGGCAAACACAGACTGACTTACTAGAAGCGCTAGAGATTTTTAAAGAAGAAAGACAAGGAAAATATATAAATTTGAAAGAAAAGAGGCATATTTCACGAGCATGGCAGGTCCTGTTTGATACGTCATTATGAAAATAGTTTTACAATTTCTATATTTGGATGCATTATATTGGTCGATTTTGGAGGATTTTAAATTCAAATTGTTGTATAAGCTCTTCTGCACCCGACACATTCAAATATTAAAACGTTAGACATCCCATCTATTTGAAATTTGTGACTTGAAGCAGGCCTTAGAAAATGACCGAAAATGTTTATTTTTCTGAACTTGCACCATTTTGCTGGGTGAATTTCAAGGCAAGGAGTTTCCACAGTATAGTATAACCCAGTTTCTGGAGAATTTTTTTTTTTTATTCTTTGATGAATACAGTAGAGTGTCGATTTTCCGAATCAATTGGGGACTGGGGTTGTCCGGATAACTGATTTACGTACGAAAAAATAGTTTAACATATCCGATGTCAAAATTTTTATACGTTGCGTGTCGCTTTGCATTGAATTTTCGTCAATGTTAAGCCTAACAAAGACTATTGTATTGTTAAAAATTATTATTTTATTTTGTACAAACAAAATAAATATATTGAAAAATATAAAAATAATAAAAAATTATACTTCAGATGTTAATTTAGTATCAAAAACATAAAATATTTGAGTAACCCAAGACATAGCCAAAGATGGAAGCGCCACAGCAGTAGCAAAAATTTAAATTTGCCAACTGGAATTCTTTCGGATGATTGACATTTCAGATGATTGACTTTCGGAAAATCGACGCTCTACTGTACTTTAAGATACAAAGAAGTGGGAAGATTTAATAAATATGATTTCTGAGATGATAATTTTTGCTTGTTATAATATCAATTAAGCATTGGAGAGAAATCAAAATTTATTCTTTAACGTTTATGCGGAATAGACAGAATAAAGAATTTAAAACAATAGTGGATTCTAGGTGTTACAAAAATTTATTTTAGTATATTCATGATTTGAGTATATTGTTCAATTAGGTTGACACTCTTGATTAGGTATAGCATCGAATAAAAATATACTATTTTTATTATTTTGTTTTATTTAACATTGGTTTAGGAAGATCTGAAAAATGAGTTTAAACAATCAATGCAATGATTACCTTTTGTACAATAAACTTTAATAAATGATAATAATTGACGATATACTAATTTTGCTTTTGAAGGGTGCCAATATACGGATTCCAGATGTCGAAGGAAAGACACCTCTCCATTTAGCAGCTGGCTGTAATGAACCCGGAGCTTTAGAATGTGTTAAAGTTTTAATGGTAAGTTTTTAAAGATTTTTATTATAACAATACTAATTGCTATATCCAGTATTATCTGAGAATTAAATATAGAATATTTTAAAAAACAGTATGACTTAACCATTAAAATTTAACAGATTGTTCTAAGGAAACAAGTTTTAATTTAAACCAGTTTTACAATTTGTTCAGAACATAAAATAATATATATTTACACTGTTTTAATTTGTTTATTACTTTGGATATTTTAGATATTTGATCATTTAGACTTTTATTTTTTTATATGAAAATATTTATTTATTATTTTACGTTGTTTTTTAAATTCAAGATTTCTAACATTAATCGAAAAGTAATTAAGCTTTATTTTAACTGTTTTCAAAGTATGAAAAATAAAGAATTTTCAGTTTATTGTTATTTTTCATTCACAAATAATTTGATAGCAAATATTTCATTAGAATTAAAGTATTTTTATTATTAATAAAAAATTTATTCCAATTAATCCTAAGAGAAAAAGAGTGAATGTTTTTCATTTATTAAATCAGTTTAAAATGCTCAGCTTTCTCTAATTTGAAAATTTCAGATTTTTAAAACATTCTTTATCTGTTTGGTATAATAGAACATTTTTATTAGTGTGAATAGATTAAAAATTATTATTTAAATTGGTATTTGTTTAAGGAAGAAGCACCTAGTGTTATAAATTGGCAAGATTATGAAGGGAGAAGTGCATTACATGTAGCAGTAGCTTTGGGTTCAACTGATATTGTTGATTTATTGGTGAGTGAGTTCAGTTTTTTTTATTATAGTGTAATTTGATTATATTTAACTTTCAACTATTAGCTTAAATTTTAAATGCTAATAGTTAAACTTAGTAAAAGTTAACTTTCAAGTGACCTTTTGTATAAAATAGTTAAATCTATTTTATACAAAAGTGTACACTTGAAATTATATGGTTATTTGAAAGTTATTGGGAATGTTGAAATTAATGAACTATTTTCTGAACATTTTAGTACTATATTTATTATAGTCCTTTGTTGACAAGATTATGTTTTGTTTATAAAATGTCCTATTCTCACTCAGATTCTTTAACAATATACAGTCAACACACCTTAATACTGAGAACGCACATTTATTGAGCTAAACAAACGTTTTCAACCCATTTCATGGGCCATCATCAGATTAAAGACATAACCTGATAAAATATAACATAACCTAATAAAATATTGCAGATATTTTCTTATATTCCATTGTATGTTTGAATTAAATTCTAAAAAACTAAATTGGGAATAGGATCATTAAGGTTACATTCCAGACAACAAATATTGTTGACTGATGATGAAGGGATCACTAATTCTTCTTACATAATTTGAAACATACAAAGTGAACAAAATATTGCTTATAGTAATGATATAATATAGAAAAAAATTGATAATTTGCAATAGAATACAATACTATGTTTTATTGCAGAAACATGGTCACATTTGACAACACCATACTAGCTTTGTTCTTTTTCTCATAAATTGTATAGTCGTTAGTATTGTAATATAGTAGGATTTCTGATCTACAAACAGTTTACAGCTTGATAAAATCACTCAAACTAGAGGAAATAAATTTTAAAATGCACAATTTACCCAATTAATTAATTCACTAATATATATTTTAATTCAAACATTTTTAGTTATGTTAAACAGCCGTTTTTTTTTAAATTACTGATTTATCTAATTATGAAACGTTAATTAATTACAAGTGAAATTAATAAAACATTGAATTCAGTTGAATAAACAAATTAAATGTTGCTAAATTAACAAGATAAATTTTATATTTCAGAACTTACAATTTTCCTAAATATTCTATGCATTTTATTTATGTACAGTACAGTACAGTCTTTTCGAAAAAAAAGTTATTGTATCTCTCAAACAAACATAAATCAACAGTTGAAGATCATTTTTAATGTCCAAAAATAGCTAATAAAGTTAGGCATAATTAAATGGATTGCTCCTCAGTTTTGAATGACTATTATTTATTTTAAATAAGAATTATTTGGTACTTCATTTTTTTATTTGTTATATTAATAGATTAACCTGATCTGAGTTAAATTTTAAAATTATTAATTTCTTTGTTACATGAATTATTTAATTGTTATTGCTTTTTTTTGCTATAAATAATTATTAATTATGATAAATATAGCTATTTTTATAATATGATTTATTATTATTATTATTATTATTATTACTATTACTACATAATATCTGGTTTAAGTAATAAGTTTTTTGAATTATGGACTGTTAGAAATGATTTTATGGAATATCATTTAGTTAGTTTATATTATTATTTAATATATCTTAGCTTAATTTACTTTTTAATACAAATCCTATCAATAAACATTGATTAATTTTTGTTATTTAGACATCTACTGAAAGATGTAATCTTAATTGTCCTGATAATATGTTTTGTACCCCTCTGCATTGGGCAGCATCTCTCGGTATGTTTTGATTCTTACTTTAATTATACATGTTTTGTTTCCTGAGTTTAAGTTAATACGGTCGGTCCTTGACTTATGAATGCCCACACTTGAAGTGACCAAAACTGGCACATTGAAAAATTATTTTTGAGTCTAAACAGTTACTTGTACTTGCCAATAGCATAGTATAACAATTAAATGTTAAATATAATGGACAACAAACAATATAATTTAAAAATGACTCATACTGTTTATTTGTTTTATCAAACTCAGATTGGTTCTTTATTGGGTAAATAACCAAACATAAAAATAATTTTTTATAACTGCTTATTTCAAGATTATCATTTTAATCTCAATTTTACAATATAGTCAAAGTAAATTGCAATATTCCTTTGTATGATTTTTTAATCCTTTGAATGTGATTGATTATTTAATCTTTGTTAACAAAATAATACATGTTATCAATAATTAATTAAAATATTAAACATTAGTTTGAAGTGCAATACACCTAAGTTGCATTGTATTATATGTATTATGGTGTATACATCTAGTAACTGATTACAATATACCTATCTATATTTGCAATATTGTATGATAATGTGTTATTTGGAGAATAATATCTATTATCACTGTTAATTTTCATGATTGATTTACAATGAGTGTCCAGAACAGACCTTTGAGTCATAAGTCAGGGATTACCTGTATACATAAATAATTTGAAAAATAAAATAAAACAAAAATACTTTGATTTTATTCATCATTTAATACATCTTCAAATTGAGAATATGAAACAATGAATCTTTTGATAATAGCAAAATAAAAATTAGGCATAAGTTTTAGGTTCATTAGCAATAGCAATTGATAGAAACAACACAATAAACTTGCAAATTTCAGAAATCATTTAGTAGAAAAATAGGTTGAATGTCATTAAAGTTGTTTTGCTATCAGCATAAAATCTACTTATACAGTTGAGAAAGAAAAATGGATGGTTATAAGTTAGGTAAAATAATAATGGAGCATATAGTTCCAAATTTGCAAAGTTAGAGATTCCCATTCAGAATATTTTTAGTCATACAAAAATACTTGTAATTTATATTGGTGATATAGTCTAAGATACTGCTAATACTTCTTTAGTTCTGTTTAATGCCTGTCTTTTCAGAGTTTATTCCTAGTGATGCTATTTTTAAGCATGTCCTGTTTTTGTGTTTTGATTCTTACCTCAAAAATTTTACAGGTATTTTCTGCATAGAAACAGATAAGATCTTATAATTTGTAAAACAATGAATTTTATATGTTCTTGCTTATTTTGGGGGAGTTGGTGGCTGTTTTTTATTTTTAATCACATGATATGTAATAAAATTCTTATTTGTTAAGATTATTTTTAACACATTAGCTGTAATAAATTTTTTTAACAACTTGGTATTATATAGATTTGTGATTTTAAGATATGATGATATAACAGTTAGTAAAACTTATCATAAAAATTCATTATTAGTTCTCTTGAATTTAATGTTGTTTATGATAGATGGTAATATTTCTTTCTCTGTATTGAAATATACTATTTTGATACGGTCAAACTTGGTTAATTCAAGTTTTACAAATGTCCCTTGAATTTCTTAATAAATGTAATGAATAGCAAAATACATAGCTATATAAGGAAAAAATAGAAAAGAAAGGAAAAGAAGCTATTATAATAAATGTAATGAAAACATTAGAGGAGAAGGTGGTATTATGGAACCCCAATTACATTTTAGTGAATTGTAAACAAGGTATCATAACTACACCCACATTTTTTGTGCGAAAAGTACTGGTAACTAGTAAACTAAATGTTCCTAATTGGATTTTTCGCTAGTGTAATTATAAGTATGGTTTTTGAAGGCTTTTGTACAAAAAGTCCGAAAGTAGGCTTAGAGAAAATCGGGTGGTAATATGGAACCTTACTGTATATTTTCAAAAAAATGCTTTAATGTAGCCAAAAACAAATAGGAAAGGACAAAAAATGTTAAATAATTACAAAATTATTTACTCCAATGTATTTTATCGCAAAAATGCTTTTATAATAGAAAAATATGACCTCCATCAACAATATATATTCCAGCAGCTCTTTTTCGATATTTTCAGACTTTCTACCTAGTGTCTTTTTCCCAAATTGCTCCGGACGAATGTCTGATTGCAAAGAGAGAGTTCGGAGGAGTTGAGTTCCATATTACTGTAAAAGCACCAAAGGGGTCCGTATTTCACGCATCGCCATCTCGAATTAACTTATGTCTGTCGAGACCAAAATTTAAAAAACGTGAACATCACACAGATTAATATGTACCCCTAAGTCTCTGGAACGGAATACATGCACCAGTGAACCTACAACTACACGATTTATATTTTAAAAATAATTAAATTCACTTAGCATTCAAAACTTGCGAATTTTGAAAAAAACAAATTTGCTGATTAAATACGGACAACCGTTTAACTGAAGTAAAACGGGTTTTCCCCTTGCTATGGATGTCTGCCTAGTTCAGTTCAGCCACATTCCGCTACAGTTCGCCTTTATTATCAGTTCGAAATGGGGTGGTTCCATAATACCCGCAGTGTTCCATAATACCACCTTCTCTATCTGTTTGATTTAATTTATTTTTAAATTTTTGGATAATTTGAAGCTGGGGTAACTTAGTTCACACTGAATGAATAGAAAATAAAGCAAATTTGGAAAGAAACAATGAATTTGAAACTTGTCTGGACAGCAGAAAGTGAAAAGCAATTTCAAATTCTGATCAGTCAATCATTTACAAGCAAGAGAGAAGCATCATTGGTAAAAACAAAACACTTCTGACATTCTGTTTTTAATGACTGTTGCATACTTATGATGAAAAATGAGAGATATGTTAAAAAAATGATGTTGGATGAGAGAAATGTTTAAAAAGTGTGAATTGCAAGAATATCCTACTAATTTTGATGTCTACTCTGTTGTGTGATGGTTTTATAACATCTTAAAAAACCACTAGAAGCACCCGACAACAAACGGCACCGTGATAAATGGTGAAATTTTTTGCTAGCAAAAAGTTTGACAGTTCCAAACTTCAAAGCGATTTATGAAATGGTAAAATTTGTCAGGAACAACATCATGTATGATGTGTTATTCACTCTGTTTTTTTGCTTTTTCTAGCTTGGTGTGAATTAAGCTTAACAAGAAAATGTGACAACCAAAGTACTTATTTTCTGTATTACTTAATAATTATCAATAAAATTGTTTAATTTTGAATTTTGATAAATGAATTATTTTTAATGCCCTTGAACTTCTAATTAATCAAGTTCGACTGTATTATCAATTAATTTAGCCAGGAAATTTAACTGGCTTGCCATTCTTTTATTAAGAACAACTTCTTTATGAGCTTCTTCTACCTTCACCAAAAGGAAAGAGGTATGTTACTAGGCATTTCTTTCTTGTCAATAGAAAAAATCTCGGTATTTTGCATAAATGTAGGTAGGAGCAACTATGAGCTTTTCATATACAGTAGAGCATCGATTATCCGACCCCCGATTAACTGTTACCTTGGTTAACCAACCGCGTTCTAGTCGGCAAATTCAAATGTCCGCTAGTGATGTGGCGCTACAATATTTGGCTATGTCTTGGCTACTTTAATATTATTTTTACGTGTTTTAGCTGGCAACACTGGATTGACCATGAAAGAGAGCCAGTATTTAAACGAGGCTTAATTTTCTAATTTTTAACGATACAATAGCAACGATTATTATTTAAAAAAAAAAAATTGATATGCTTAACATGGAGGAAAATTCAACGCGAAGTAGGTTAATAGCGATATACTAATATACTAATTATATGGGATATAATAATATACTACACTAATAATGGATTTTTTCATACTTTTCGGTTATCCAACTTTTCAATTATCCGACCAACCCCAGTCCCCAATTGAGTCGGATAATCGAGGCTCTACTGTATTTACATAATAAAGCTTTCATTTAATTTTTTAATATTTAAATCTAATGAGTTTATTTTAATGCTTGATCTGGTCTGTCGGGATTAGAATCGTCTAAACATACAATTCCCGCCTTTTCTTTTATTTCAAACTAGTCAATGCCGCAGAAGTTGGTTGGAAAAACGACCAGTGGTTTTGGATGCGTAATTGCTGATTGGCCTCCGATCATAGGACCATCAGCGGACCTACGACAGAGCTACGAAATGCTGATTGGTCAATTAATCTTGCCGTCAATCCATATAAAAGGTTGAAGTTTAGGCGGGAAAGTTAAGTTTGGTAGGAACTTCAGCTTAAGGACATTTCGTTTAAGTTCAGTTTAAGTTTGGCTTAGGACTTTGAGTTGGTCAACAGAAGTTTGATCAGAAGGTTATTTAACATTAGGCTTGAAGCAAGGTTGCTTTTGTCTCGCTATTTCTTCGACGAATGCCGGAAGAAGCTTACATCTAGCTAAGTCTCAGGGATTGGATCGTAAGGTGTCTTTTCAACGGACCTGTTTAGGATTAGTGGACTATTTGAACTTTAATTTATTTTGTGTGTCTGCGGGAACCTTCTTTGTAAATATCTTAAACGTTGTAAATTTATAAAGTTTGTGAATTTTTAAGTTTGACTTGATCAATGCCTAAAGCTAGCTGCATTGTTGCTGTTTATTTTTCAGAGAATCTACATACTTTAACACAGAAAAATCACAACTTTCTGATGGTTTCCAGCAGTAACTGTCTAATTAAACAGTTACTGTTGGAAACCGTCAGAAAGTTGTGATTTTTCTGTATAATAGGATAGTTCCAACTTACAAATTAATCTACATAATGTACTAAATCATCTACTTTCCACCAAATTAGCATACCAATATACAAATCAACATACTGTACTAAAATTTATATAGTTAAGGTTCTTGGTATTTTTAGAATATCGATGTTTCAATAAAGTCCTGTAGCAACTCAGCAAATTCTCTAGCAATTAGTGAGTTAATAGACTTTTTTTTCAAAATCAAAATAGTAAAACTAAATGATTATTTTTAAGAATATTTTTTAAATTGAAGTCAAAACAATTTGTAAAGCATTAATCTGTTATTTTATTAAATGACTTCTTAAATTTGTAAGTTCTATTATTTTTACTAACAACTGAAATTTTAAATAAGTTTTTCTAACATACCTAAAATTTTAAACTGTGTAAATATTTGAAAACAAAACTAAAATGAAATACATTTGAAGAACAATATATTGTTACACAAGAGCAAAATGTTTTCATGTGTATTTTTGTTTTTACATACACACTTTAATAATTTTAATGTTTAATTTTAATACGATTTTTATATATTTTGATATAAAAGTATGTTTAAATGGATAATTAAGGTAAATGTCTTTGATTTTATTTATTTACAGATTATTTTGAGTTTATATATATAAAGTTTTATGTTTATAAGCTTAGTTCATATGTTATTTAACAATATGTTTAGTAAATGATGTTACCTTATTTGTATCTTTGTCACTTTTGTCTCAGTGACCCCATCACTCTTCGAATTAGATCCTGGATACTTAAAGCTCTCTGTAAGGTATTATTTGATTTCCTAGTTTCATTGGTATGTCATAAGCATTTTTCTTTTTTATTGTAGCCACAACATATATTCTGTCTTTGCTCTACTAATCTTAATTTTTATAGACTTTAATAATAACTGTTTAATTTTCTAAGTTTTGGTTAATGCTCGTTCTTGTGTTTGTAGTGATATGTACAAATACCAAACATTAAGGTATTCTTGTCTCTTTGGTTATTTCATTACTGTCAATACAAATGAGTAAGTGTTCAGTATTGATCCCTAATATAGCTCGATCCTTGTCAATAACCGTTTGGTCTTGCTGTGCAATTTTCTTATTCTGGTTTCCGAGTAAAATAACTCATTGTAACTTTGGAAGAAAATACAGACTAAAAATTTTAGGAGTCAAAGCTTCTTTATTGGATAAAATGTTTTTGGAATTTCTGTATCCCATCATCAGACTCAAAAATTTGAATGGGAACATTAGTATTTTCTATTGAGTGTTTTAGAAAGTTTGAATGCATATACAATTTTTATATAGAATAGAACTCTTTGATTTATAACAGTTACGTATGGTGGTTTGTAATATGTAAATGTTAACAAATTTGTAAATTAAGGAATTAAAAGTAATGAAAGAAAAGTATAAATATAAAATACAATAAAATATACTAAAAATAAAAATAAAATAGACTAAAATAAAATACATTAATACTGTGACACAATGTTATTTTTTCTCATATTCTGATAAAAGTCTTGAGACTTCCAAAGAACAGTCCATATCCAAGACTATGAACAAAATGATGAAAGTAACCCTACCCCAATTCATTTCTTTCTCTTCATTAGAGGGAGGCTGCACATTGCTATAGCCATCTACTGTTGTTATAAGTAAAAATCTTGTATCAGGTACAACAATCTTATCTTCGTGTCAATTAGGAATTGCACGCTGGTTAATATTGGACAGGTTGTGGATAAGCTGGCTGGGAAAGCTGTACATCTCTGCCGTTTCCTGTCATCAGAGAGTCAGCAGTTGTGATGAATATAGTAAGGCTGCAATTTTGTACTTAAGATGGTCTCGGGAATTAAAATGAATGTAAAATGGTACGCCATGGGTTATTTTTATATGTAACTGTCCTGTTGGAGACCCTTTGACTCTGATTCTGATATACAGATGACAAACTGCAGTTTCACAGACAGAATTTCCAGGGTGAGTCCCATGGAATTCCTGTTAATTTGCCAAACCAAATCCTTGCATGCCTTTTGATCATTCCAAACTATCAGAAGGTTATTACTCCAATGGAATATTAACAAGATGTACCAACAAGACTGACTAGCACTGACTACCTGAGTTTTGACAAAAGTCAAGCAGAGCTCAGTAAAATGTTCTGCTACTGTGAAGCCAATTGACAATACTCTCAATTAGATGTAATATTTGTACTAAACTTGAAATATGAATAGACAATGATATGGAAATTTTATTTTGAGGGTTGCCTGACTCAGGATTGTGAGTTGGACATCCTCCATTGCTAAGCTTAGGTTTATTCGACTTTTTTAAAGAACAAACTTTGTATTTCGACTCCTCAAATACTATCACAAGACTTATTTTAAAATTTAGATTCATTTTTATATGGTTTGTTTCAAAATGTAATGCATTCTATAAAAATGAAATTTATTTGATTTAGCAGATAATCCTGACAAATCAGTAGTGCAGAGTAACAAAATACAAATAGAATAAATCTAATAAATGATTTTAATGATTACTCTATAATAAATTGATTTTAAATTATTAATTTGCACTTTAAATTACTATAGTACAGTAGAGCATCGATTATCCAAATACCGATCAACCGAAACATCGATTTACCGAAAGCAATCCAGTTGGCAAATTCAAATTTCTGCTAGTGCTGTGCAATATTTGGCTATGTCTTGGGCTACTCTAATATTTGTTGGTGTGCATGTTTTAGCTGGCGCACTGACATGACCATATTGTATTGTTAAAAATTATTTTTTTATTTTGCACAAACAATTTGATGAAAATTCAACGCAAGCCACACTCAATGGAGAAAAATTTCAACATGGGATAGGTTAATATATTTTTTCATACATGATCAGTTATCTGAGCAACTGCAGTCCTGAATTGTTTCGGATAATCTGTATTTATATTAGTAATGTAGACACAAAATTAGTTGATAGAGAAGATTAAAGTAATGGATTTCAGACCTTCAAAAATGCATATCATAAACTTCTTAAAAATTAGTTAGCTGCACATATTTTAAATTAAATAAATTAAAAATATTAAAAATTACAGCCCAGCATTGTGACGATGTCACAATAAATAATTGCTTGTTGTAATTGCAATTTAAAAATTGATAGATAACCCATAGCAGTACATAACTTGTATCCCTTTTCAAATTGTCTTTAAAACACAGATAACCTACAGATTACTTTCAAGAAATTATGGTAATTTGATATTTTTAAAACTTTAAAATACAGCTTTTATTATACTGTATTTCAAAAAACTGGGTACTTAATTATATAACACTCACCAAATAAACCATCACCAGTTCATAACCAAACAGAAAAATTCTTTCTATGAACGTTTTCATCTATATGTAATAGACATACTCGGGTATTGACGATATCGAACTAACGGTTAGTAGAATAGAATGTTTTTTGCTACACAAAGTATCGGATAAGGCAAAACTCAAGTACCTCGAATTGCTGGAGATATATAAGGCAATTAAAAAAGGGATCAGTATTAATTTCAAAGAAACCGATATGCCTTCTGCAGCATGGTGTGCCATATTTGAATTAGATCCCAATGATTGAAACGCGCATCAAAGATATTTTAAATTACGGAAGATATTTACGTCATGATCTACGTGAAATCAATTATTTATTCGGATATATTTTAAATATTTTACATATTTTCAATTTTAACACAACATATTCAAATTACGTAGTTAAATGGAACTTTCAAAAACATTCTATTCTACTAGCCGTTAGTTTGATATCGTCAATACCTGAGGATGTCTATTACATATAGATGAAAACGTTCGTAGAAAGAATTTTTCTGTTTAGTTATGAACTGGTGATGGTTTATTGGTGAGTGTTATACAGCTTTTAGACTGAAATAAGAATTATTGAGAAAAAATTAACTGTTACATTGATATTGAGTAAACTTCATGATATTTATTGTTACCTATGTTTAATTTTAAATAATTTTTGATACATTTCATTCTCAAAAAGTTAAGATCATACTCTGTTTAGTACAATAATTCTATTACATAATAACTATCATCAAAATGACTTTGGGAAGAACTTATTTCCATCATTGGCAGTATTCTAAAATATGAAATTTTGAATTCTATTATAATTTAAAACTTTACAATCATCATATAGAAAAATGCTATAGAGGAAACAAACTTTAAATTTGGATTTAGATTAAAAAGAGGTATACTTAATACAGATCCTTACAAAAATAAGAATAATAGAAATATAGAAAAACCCATAAATGATATTTACGATGTGCTATTTGTTTTTTAGGTTTAGCAGATAAAGTCAGTCTGCTTTTGGATCGTAGAGCTGATTTTCATAGCACAGATATTAACGGAGCAACTCCTTTACATTATGCTTCTCAAGGAAATTATGCTGTGAGTTTGATTTTAATCTATTCTGTATAATATTAATTAGACTTTGAAAATTATTAATCTGGATACATTAATATTATAAATACAAAGTGTATAATTATGTATATATTATTATTTTGTAAATACTATTATTTGTGTTTCTAGTCTTCTTTGCCAGGCAAGCTTATGATTTGTCTCTGTTTTGAATGTGTGTCTGTCAGTGATTGTATATTAAGATGATAGTACAACAATGACTATACTAGAATACACTAATATATATATATATATAACTCTCTGAACTGTTGATTCTGGTTGAATGTTTTAGTAAGATAAGATGTATGTATTTAGATAGACAGAATTTTTGTACGTATTTTGAGTGTTTGTGATCTTTGTGTGACCTCTAATCCAGTATATTTAGTAAGTGTTTTTTGAAACAAATTTGTAAATTTGTTAATTAATTCTGTGTTTGCAATATCACTAGTTGTAATTGTTGTGTTTATGTTTTCATTTGTGCATGTTATGCTATGCTAGTTTTCGTATTTTGGTACATGTTATGCTATGCAATGACACTTTTAAAGTTCGTCGCTAGGAAATTTTTAAAAATTTTTCCAAGTTTATAATGTACACAATCAATTTCCAAGTTTATAAAGCAAAGATAGAGAAAAAAGTTTTAAACTTTGATTTCTCATCCAGTGAAGAATACAATGTGCCATTTACCAGGATGGAATTAATGAGTTCCTCACATAAGAATCTATCTAATTTATAGACCAATATCGCTGACAAGTTGCCTTTGCAAAATTTTTGAGAGAATGGTAAACAGATATTTGACATTTCTCCTGAAGAAAAACAATTACCTTTTGTCACACCAGAGTGGATTTTGTAGAAACAGAATTACAATGAACAATTTAATAAACCTTAAAATATCTATATGCAAAGCATTTGTATTATAACAACTAACACTTGATGTCTGTGTTTTTTGATATTGAGAAGGCCTATGCTGTTGGCACTATGGAATACTTTGTGATCTGTGCAAATTCAGATTGCAGAGTAATCTGCCAATGTTTATAAAAAACTTCCTACAAAATCAAAGATTTCAAGTTAGGATGGTAACCACTTCATCTAGGCCTTTCGTACAAGAAGAAGGTGTTCCTTGCGGTTCTATTTTGAGTGTGGCTCTGTTCCTCATTAAAATCAATAGCAAGGCCTCAGTGTCAAACACTCTCTGTATGTAGATGACTTTCACATCTGTCAGTCTAGCAACATGTGCTTCATTGAGAGACAACCACAAAATGCCTTGAACCACATACAGGATTGGTCCAATGCAAATGGCTTTACTTTCAACATTAACAAGACCTCGTGCATCCACTTTTGCCTAAGGCACGGTTTGCACCTTGATTTAGAAATCTATCTAAATGGCATAAAAACTCTATGGTCAACTAAACTAAATTTCTGGATTTATTATGTAAATGTCTACTAGGACATATTGTGTTAGTAGATCGTATTAGTTATACTGGTGTCCAGGTTCTGCAAATTGAGGAAACCTATTCAGAAAAACAATCTTTATTTTTCATCTGCACCGGACACCAGTATAATAAGTCCTACTAATACAATATGTCCTAGTAGACATTTACATAATAAATTTGTATAATAAGGACACAAAGGCATATGAATTAATAAATTTCTGGATGTTCTGTTTGACCAAAAATTGAATACTTTTTACTACACTAATGCATCCAAAGAGTAAATGTTAAAGTCTCTAAAACTTTTAACGGTACTAAACTGCTCATCCTGGGGAACAGACAAATGTTCCATGCTTGTGATTTACAGGGTCCTTGTCTGCTCAAAGCTGGATTACAGATGTGTTGTATATGGTTCTGTGCAAGACTATACTCTTCAGATGCTGGATCCAATCCATCATCAAGCATTGCGCTTTGTGCACTGGTGCTTTTCGGACCCTCCTGTTCAAAGCTTGTATGTGGATGCTTTTCAGCCTCCACTATCACTCAGTAGGAAACAGTTGTCTCTGTTTTATTACATTAAACTGAAATCCCAATATAAATCCTTGGTTTGTACTAAGTTGAGTAATTTTAATCTTAAAAGAGTATTTTCAGCTTGTTATTTTGTGACCCTACTTTTGACATTAGAATTGGTGTTATAAGCAGCACGATTGATCTGGTACAACTCTCACAGTCTGAGGTTGATAGTATATTGTGAGAATCTGAATTTGAGATTCATTTATTTTTATAAAATTATAAAATTCGATGTAATATTTTGTCACTAAAATTGTACACTTTTACAAATTTTGAGGGAAATTAAGGGAAAACAAGGAAATACAGTTTCCTTTCCCACCAGTTTGCTTCTTTTAGAAAAGTTTATCACATCTTATGACTAAATTTCAACCTAACTTCATCTTGGTCAGATGACAAAGAGTTCTGCTCTTGATTGGAGACTATTTTTCTGTATAAAAGGGTTATACACACCAAATTCTGGGCGGATTAATCAGTTCCAATTATCCGTCAACACATATAATTTTGTGCCTGGTCTCTCCTTTGGATTCTCAACTTCCACCTATACAAATTCAAGATTTAAGTATTATAGAGGTATATTATTAAATATTATTGTAAACTCTCTCTCAATATAAATTAATATGGTTATAGTTAGATAGGTTAATGACCTCTATATTATTGTATTATATTCAGTTGTAATCTTAATTTTATTTGTTTATTAAAATATATTTATACTTGTTAAGTTGGAAGTAAATTCTCATATTAGTTAAATATTGGACATCCTATTGAACTTCCTCACAATCTCCTCACATGTAGTATTTATAGCCCTCCTTTTTAAATTTTATTATAATCTTAATATGATGAATTAGGGTGCAAATACATTACCCTATCTAGTGTCAATCCTGACTAGACTAAGATTTTATTATCTTTAGTCTTAAATTTTCTATTACAAGCCATCTGTTGACTAAGTGGGAGATTTTTACCAAATCATTGTCGATTAAGTAGTATATAGAATAATTTTATACCCCCAGTTTCTAACATTATCACCCTGGTCAATTCCTATCATAACAATTGACTTTAGCTTAAAGTGGTATCCTAAAGAATATATACCCTAGATTATATATATAGACAGCTATTTGCAAAGGTCTACACATGCATTTACTTCCCATATACACAGCTGATCTAAGTCAGGGAACTATATTGGTTTGGCATTGTCTGCTTTGACAAAATCAGAGAAGATCAAATTTCTCCCAAGGCGTCTATTTTCACTGCAGAGTTGCAAGCTATCTACTTAGCCTTAAAACATATAAGGAGAAAAGATCGTCATTGCTGTGTGATTTATACTGACTCGGTTAATGTACTTCAAGCATAGATCTCATCTAAAACTGTTTCACACACTGTACTGATCAAAGTTTGTAAGCTCATTTGCCATATGGATTTCTCTGGCAAATTCTGTTGGGTTCCAGGCCATGTAGGTATAAGAGGGAATTAACAAGCTGATGGAGCTGCAAAGTCAGCTAATCTGTTAATGCAATCCAATGCCTGTTGAAGGTGCCTGAAGCCAGTCGTTAAAAATCAACTAGCAGAGATCTGGCAGAACATGTGGAATGAACAAGTCCACAATAAACTATGCAAGATCAAGCCTTTGAAAGAAAATTGGACACCTAATGAGGTTTATTACAGGAAGATCTGGAGTAATTCTTACTTGTTTGTATATTGGCACAATGAAGTGACCTTCTTTATCAACACTTGGCAAGTTTTCAATCTTTATTCAGTTAGATTCTAACTGAATAAAGATTGAAAACTTGCCAAGTGTTGATAAAGAAGGTCACTTCATTGTGCCAATATACAAACATAAGTAACAACACGGTTTCGATAACAACAACATAATTCTTACTTATTTGAGGATTGGTTATACTTGGCTGACTCATCAATACCTTTTGAAGGTCAAAAGACCAGTTATTATGAATACTGCAACTGTAAAGTGTCAAACACATATTGTATGAATGCTCTGAATTTGAGAGGGCTTGTAGATATCATTTTTAGAAATTCAAGTTTGTCAAGAATTTTGGGCCAGAGATCAAATCCTGATATTTTACTGGCCTTTCTGAAAGTCATTAATGTATATAAACTAGTGTTGCAATGAATAGTATATTCGGCCTCAGGCCGAATATCGAATATTTGGCCAAACTATTCGGCTCGATTAACGCACGTACGAAAATTGGCATGTAAACTGCATTATGGCAAGGACCCTGCCCTCTATTGGCCCACTGTCACTACACTTCACATTAATTCTTGACAGTTCAGACAATCATCTTTTTACAGTGTATTAAGAAGTGTACCAAAGAGTGTCATGGCAGTATGTGATAAGTGATGATATCAAATGTGGATAACAATGAAATGACCTACACGTGTAAATAATGGAAGAAGAACAGAGAAGGACCGCAAAGTGAAAATAAATATGAAATTGAGTTGATAACATAATCGAATAAGTCGATTATGTTATCAACTCAATAAGCTGCCTCGACTTGTTCGAGGCAACTTATTGGCGTGAAATTAGCGGCTGTGAATGCCAAACAATTGTTGTCATAGACTTCGGAAAGCTAAATGCCTGTAATGAAAGTCATTTAGCATGCACTGGTGAAAGCCTGGGGTCATTCGGGCTACCAAGCTGTTTCGAATCTGTGAAATCATAACTGTGACTTATACTGACATCTTATCTGTCTCTTTTCTCCGTTATCACCAGGCTATGAGTCATGTAATTGTAAAATGGGAAATCTACGACGGAAAAGTGACGAATCAAAAGTATCGTGAGGGCATATTATGATGTATGCATAGTCATACGTGGACTAGAGTGATAGAGGAAAGAGAAAGGGAAGAGCAAAGACGAGCGCTTAAAAAGAAGGAGAGGCAGGGTCAGACCCTCAGATGTGCAATGATTCTCAAACAAATAGGTGTGTACATGTGCTGATTTTTGTAATTATAAATTGTGAATACAAGTGACTAATATTATGTTCTTTTTTATTTTGTGCATGTTATAAGTTATAAATAAATATAAACAAACAACATTAACCTGATAACATTAAATCTAAATACCAAAATGATTAATTTACTGTGTTTTTGTTATTTCTTACTCCTGTTTTTAGGTATTCGGTATTCGGCTGAATAGTGATTAAATGTTCAGTATTTGGCCGAATAGCGAAAAATAGGCTGAATAGACCGAATACTGAATAGTAACGGAATATTCGTTACATCACTAATATAAACAAATATGATTATTTATTTTAAATTATAGTTCTAAATTTTTGTTATTGTTATTTATATCTTGTTGTGAATAGTATGTTTGGATGTATTTATTTACAGTGTATTATACCTGTTTTATAGTTATTGTTATTTATATTGTTATTTTGTATGTATTTGTCATTTATTCTTTATACACCATTTGTCATGGTGCAGCGTAGCCTATATGGCTCTTGTGCAAAGAAACTCAAACAAACCAAACCAAAACCTGTTGTGCTCCTTTGATATGTTCAAATATTGTTTGTGGAATAAGGTTGTTATGTATAATTGTTATTTTTTTTATCAACAATTGTTTATAACGATGAGATGTGGGTACTTTTGTGAGTGTTTGTCATATAGTGTCTGTTTTGAGTTTTATAATGGTAAACCATTACAAAAGATGATAAATTCATTCATGTCTTTGGTCTACTTCATCCAATGGTATGGTTTTCTGACCTTGATGGTCAGTGGCTGGATTGCCACTAAAGCAGTTTTGCTTGATTGGTTTCTGTTATTCATTATGAATGAGGTGATGAATGCATTTGTGTTTGTGATGCAGTATTATTACTTAATACAGCACTGCATTTGATACTGGTGACAGATTTCTCAAATATGAGCCTCTAACTCAAGAATGCAGGCCTTGTTAACTTGAGTGATGTCTGAGCTAGTATTATGCTGAGAACACGTCACAACCATTTTGTTTTTTTTCTTCACAGAAGTAAGCATGCTTATATACTCAAAGCCAGGTGTTTAAAAGTCATCTGCTCCTAGCATGGGAAACAGACACTGTTCAGCAGCCACTTTCTTGGATCAGATTCTGCTTGTGGACCATTCTTCTTCATTTCTTCTCAAAGACTTTACTGGCATGGGTGGTCTTACTATGAACTAGAGTTCTTGCCAGCATTACTTGATGATTGATTTGAACTATTAAACTCTCTCTCACCTTGACAGTATGGTAACTAGCAAAAGAGTTGTTATTTTTGTGGTTGTGTTGATGGAATGCATACTACTTAGCTTATATTCTGGTGCTTAATATTATTCAGGACCAGGGACAAGGCATGACTGCAGAACAATCTATTATTTTTACATGCTGTTTGTGTATGTATTTGTATTTAAGAATTTTCTCACTACATGACGTATTTAGTATGTAAGCCTAATATAGTGTGATGTGTGTGCTATTTATTTATATTTTATTTTCCATAATATAGGATACTGTAGCTGTGTTTCTTTCAAGGAATTACATAACAGACAAAAGGGATTCGGAAGGTAGAAATGCATTGATGTGGGCAGCAGCGAGAGGTGCTGATGATGTAATTCGCACCATTTATACATTTGGTGTGGATCTATCATTAAAAGATGAAAATGGAGCATCAGGTAAAATTTAATTATAGGTACCCTTTATATAATACAGCATTTTTACCATGTGGTTTCACTCTAACAGTTTGAGAATTGGGGAAATCCCACATTCAACACAGCTCAAAAATTGGAGACATCACTGTACAAACATCATAATTTTTAAGTGCAAACATCATAATTTGATATTTTTTATTCAAACAAGCATGCAATGTGTCTCGTATTTGATAATTTTAGTATTCTAAAATCTATGGGCAATGTTGTTTCATGCTTTTTGCTCAGTTTTCTTTCATGAGAACTAATTATACAATTTTTTTCTTCCTTGTCCTTGCTTCATATTCTAGCTTTCCTTTAATTAAACCAGGTGTCACTGTCATTGGTGATAGTGCTCTAAGTGAACCCAAAAGACTGTCACTGTGTTTTGTGTTTATAGATTAAATTATGAGTTACTACATAAAAACAGTAAATTTTTAAAGATCTTTTATGCAAATGCAAGCAAATGAAAAAATCAGATTTTATGAAAAAGTAGAGAAAAAGTTGTTGGTATTTTAGATAGATTAAGGTCAACAGGAAAGCTCAGAAGATGACAATATTTTGCCGAAAAGAAAATGTCCTCATTTAATGGTATTTAGCAGTGAAGAAGAAATTAATATTAATATGCAATATTTTTGATTGTGATTGTTAGTGAATTAGTAATTTCTATAATAAACATATTTCTCTTCATTACAAAAAAAAAATAGTATACTTTTGCTAACTTTTGGAATCTGACTCCCATGTTATATGGGGATATCTGTACGTTCATTATGAATTATTTCTTCAATTTTTATTTTAATATAGTAGAAAAGTTTATTCATCAATATAAACTAATGGATTATTGAGTATTCTGTAGATTTCTTAAGACTTTTAGGAAGTTTTTAGTTTTTTCTATAAATTAATAAACAGATTAATTCCCCTTTAGGCACGTAGAATTTTAAGAGCTGATGTGGGACATTGTATCTGCAGGATACATAATGAAAATTAATGCAATTTTTATATTTTCACACACAAATATGTTTGACTATGATTATATCTTCAATTTCTATATTTTCTCTACTGTCTAACAGTATAAAATACAAAAAATCTTACTCTTAGAACCTATTTCCGGTGTGAGGAAAAAAACAAAAGAAAAAGTTCACCACAAACGTTTTCAAACTTCTGGGAGTTCTTCCTCAGGTGGAAGAACACCCTATACCACCCTATACTAGAGAACGCCCACTTACTCTGCTACAGTTCCTTTTTCCAATTTGATGGTGCAATATACACACAAGGAAGAGGAGTCCCCATGGGCAGCCCGATTTCAGGAGACCTATGTGAAATGGTTATAAAACAACTGGAGAGCAAAGTCCTTCCACAGTTCCTGCCCAGCATTGTTCTATACAGAAGATACATCGACGATATTTTGGTTTGCTGGAGGACAGTTCCAGATATTTTGACCTTTGTCAACACTTTTAATGATAACCTTTTCGGCTTAACCTTAGAGCTCGAACAAGCCAACCATAAAGAGGTCCACTTCCTAACATCAAAATCGAGGAAAAGTGCATCCTCACATCTGTTTACCGCAAACCAATGTCTACACCCACATACATACCGGTAGGATCATGTGACCCCTTCCAGTATAAAGTAGTGGCATTCAATGCTTTAATCAGGAGAGCGTTTACTCATTCATCATCTACCCAAGCACTTGCCGATGAACTAATGCATATACAACAGGTTGCATCCACCCATGGTTTCCTGACCCTAACTCATAAACTGATTGAACGCTATCACCATACATACAGCACACCATCACGACTGATACACAGAGTCACAACAGTCCTGAAGTTCTCCTACAAATCCCTATCACGTTCAATTCGTACATTAAAACATTTTACACTGATACCACCAGGAAGCACCGAATTCAGATTACGTACAGATGTCCCACCATATTTCACATCCTCCGCAATGGGAAAGACCCTCCCAACTAGAATAGACGACTGGGTGTATACAGTATCTGCATTAGAGACAACAGATTTGATAGGGAACTCATTTACATCGGATCGACCAAACGCTCCTTGGGGGTCAGGCTACAGGAGCACATAGCGGACATTCAACATAAGAGAAACTCCACTGCCATCACCACTTAATCAGGCAAAGCTAGTCTGCACGATGTCACACATCGAACATCTAAAATGGCTAGAAGACATTCAAATTTATAAATAGAACCTTAATAATTCATGTATCAATTTTAAAGATGTGTTAGTTTTGTCTATAGCTTGGCAGGCGTTGATGGACTCTGAACTGTAATTACTAAGATCTGGTTACCCTATGGGTATGCATGAGCAATTTGTATTACATTTCCATTTATTTTTTCACATATAACCTTAACCGATTGCTCTGTCACATCAGAAACTCCCTTTTCACCTGAGAAAGAACTCTCAGAAGTTCGAAAACGTTTGTGGTGAACTTTTTCTTTTGTTTTTTTTTCCTCACACCAGAAATAGGTTCTAGGAGTATGATTTTTTGTAACACTTCCTGGTGTTATTGTTGTTGTTGAGTATAAAATACTTGTGGATTTTTAAAAAATGAGACTTTTGTGAAATCCGCGATTTTTACGCTGATGTCGGAAAAATCTTTATAAACAACTCCGATGGAAAAACCCACTCTTGGTGAGAAGTATATCGGAGGTCACCAATTCTTTTCACATTAAGGTGGGAAAGTTGACAGTTAGTTGATCGGAATGCACCATAAGTGTCAACAGAAGTCGATCACATGACTCATTTCCCACGAATAACGTATAAAAGCTCGAGTCCCCGAAAGCTCCGGGCGATCCCTCGGAAGTTATACTTGGTAGATGTGCCATATTTGTCTCCATACTCGGGACCGACAGGACATACAACCAACCACAGCCATTTGAACTTCTATCGCCATTAACGAACATATTCAACGAACGCATATTAGACATATAAGCATAGAGGTATTTGTACTTTTTAGAGCTTTGTGAACTCTCTCTCAGACTAGAAGTAAAGCTATTAGAGTGTCCCTTTTGTATAGTGAACTTATTTAATTGCATTTAACCTATATATCCTAGCTTAGTTATATAAATAAATGCTTATTTAGTTTTTAAACCTGTCTCCTGTCTCTGATGTACACCTGCCGACTTACCGACGCACTCCCCACTTAAAATTTTTGCCCTCCTAGCCATCCGACAAGCCGAGAATGGGTTTTACCAACCTGTTGCAGAGTAAGTGGTCATTTGGGATGAGCCCAGTGGCCTGCTGCTAATTGCATACTTTTATCTCTATTTTTTGTAATTTGATCTATAAATGCAGAAAACTAAATTTATCAAATATCAGCTAACTATAAATCATTCAACTTCCACTTATTGACATCAAATTTGTTAAATTTTACAGGATTGTATTATCTTTCAACTCCAGGTAGTAAAGCTTTATTTATTTTCTCCTGCAAAAGTAATAGACTCTGCCGGTCCCACACTGTAAAGGACAACAAACTGCTAACCGTTTTATTACTCTGTTTTCAAAAACTCCCTTCTCTGTCAATAGTGGGTCAAATGACTAACAAATTGTTTTCTTGCACTTGGGATAATGGTTTCTTTTAGATTTAACAACTAGCATTGCTAGTAATGAATTCTATAATTTTATTTATAATAATTTAAAAAATATTGATAAAATTACCAAATAAATGTTTAGGTCACAATTACTAAATGGTATTACTGTGTAATGAATGTAAATGTTAACTGTTGCAAAATTGAAAGAATTAAATTCCTTATCATGCTCTGATCTCAAGAAAGCAGGATGATAACACCAAAGTGAGAAAGTTGTGTTGTCAAAAATAGCTGTAGTGACTTATTTGAAATGAATTGGGATTGGTCTGGTCTTTGAAACCAGGAAAAAAAAAATAGAATATGTAACATTGTGGTAAAGTTTAAATATTCTATGTTGTTATTTTATTCAATTGCAATCAATTATTATGTGCAACAATTGAGAGTACAGCATTCTCACGCTGCGAGAGGATTTACTGCAGGTGGTAGTTAGTATTGTTTTTCATAAAATCTTTATGAATAAAGGATCATAAACTTGAAAACCACTGTAGGAAATACTTCAGAACATATCAGTTCATGAATACTACAAAGCCTGCAGTTCAACTGTTGTTTATTTTTAAGAAATTCAGTAAAAAAAATGGCACGTATCTGCTGGATACATATGCCACAAGATGCAGGTTAAGTAATGGTTTTCGAATTTGTTAAGTTATTTCTCATACAATTAGTTGCTTAATAAATTCTTCACTTTACAAAGAAAGAATGTTTGTGGAAAATTTAAAGTTGATAAGAATTCTGTATTAAAAATTTGTTTTCTATTTGTACTGCTTTCCAATATATTTGTTTTAAAAATGGTGAATCTTCTTTCATCTAATCAATGAAATATTTTAATTGATACAAATACAATTCCTATTTACGTTAATAATAGGAATAGGTGTAATTGACTTTGAATAAAAGTAAATAAATAAACCTTTACAATTCAGCATCAGTTTTTAACAAACATTTTCAGCATCATTAGTAGCTATCAGATTTGAATATAGCTGTTTCAGGACATTAACGTGTGACTGGAGGGTTAGCACCTCTTTGATGCCTTGTCACGACTGGCACCATCATGTCTCATGTGACATGGAAGCCGTGACAGTGAGTTTAGTTTTGGTTAATGAATAGTCACGTGAGAGGCTGCAGGTGTAAGTAATCGGGTTCTGGATGAAGATGGTGAGACAGCCTGATGGAAGTAAAGTACTCAGACACTAAAGTTAACAACTAAATAATCATTTAATTTCAATGAAAAAGAGTACATGATACAATATACAATATATATTGGGTTATATCAACTTAGCCTATCTATCTAGCGGTCATGAGAGAGAGTTCACATGAGATTTGCATGGTGTTATATAAATACCTTGTAGAGGAGATGCATACCAATTGGGTCAAAAGGAAGAAAGTTCTAGATGCCAGTTCTTATTTTGGGTGTACAATAGATAATATGGCTGTAGGCGAGAAGGATGACATACCCATATATATATAATTAAAACAATATAGCCGATGCTATAATAGAATGATATATCTGAACGTATAATAAAACGATGTATCCAAATGTATCCGAAATTTGAGGCACAGGGAAAACGAATGGTCCGATTGAGGAACTGGTGACGACTGCTTCTTCAGATGTCAATTATGATACTAGCCTGATGTCGCCTGGCCAAGAGGTCAGCAGATCACGGGAATGCATCGTTTTCACCATCTAGAAAGTGTAAGCGGAGATTTTCTCAGGTAGTAGATGACAACAATTATTGAACAAGTATGACGACATTGAAGATCGATTTTTGTTAAAGTTTGGATTCTCACAAACATCATAGGTAATGGAATAAATTTAAATTCAAAATAATCATAAATACATACTATATAAAACTGGATAAATTAAGTCCAAACACATAACTATGCCAGAATTATCCAGCAAAAATTATACTTACTAAAATAATGAAAAACAACCATTTTTGATGATTTTTAAATCATCATCTTCAGATTAAAGCCAGTCGAACATCAATGTGAAAATTTGAATGTCTCTTTAAAAATGTACAGAGCAATAATTTCATTGGTTGGGAAATGTCGATGTCAATAATGATGATTATTTTTTTAAGTAATGAGATTTAATTTATAGTTGTACTTTAAAAATAGACCTCTATGCTTTGGAGAATGTATCTGCATCTCTGTAATTTATGGCTGTGTCCTGAAAATTAGCTTTGTATATTTCAAGAATCTCTAGATGTTTCAGATAATCCAGTTCTAGGGTGTATTAATACATCCTAGTAGGAACTGCATTATTTCTGAACTCTGTTTTTGATCATTTCTTTTTCAAAATTAGACTATAGAAAATTGATTCTAATTTCTATATCATTACTTTTGCTCCACAATAAATTTTATAATAAAAAGAGTCATCATGTGCTTTAATAATAACAATTACTTCTGTGCTTTTAAGGATTAATCTAACTATTTGCCATCCATGAAATCATTGAATCTGTATATCAGTTCTACATAAAACTCTATTATGTATCTGTTGATATTGTGTACAGTAGTGCCGACAAATGTAAGTTTAGTTTATTTAGTTATGTGGGTGTTCTGCTGAGGAGGGAATGCTTCCCGGGAGGTCTTTTATGGGAAAATGGCCCCTATTTAGGCATTACTAATAGGAAGAACATCCAGAAGTCTCCACATGTCTGGTCCATTGGCAAGACATAAACTCAGAACTGACTACCAGTGTTTGGTGGTTTTCTCCACTCGGCCACAGGTGGGTACTGACAAATATAACTAGACTTCTGTTTATGTATTACAAATCTGTAATATAGAAATGAAGACCTAATTAAATCTTATCATTTAGTTATTAAATCTATAAAAGAGAGAGAGAGATAGCATTTTCTAAATTTTGTTGCTTTTTTTCCTCCCTCCTTCCACCCTGTAGACACTAAGACGACCTTTTTCATATCTATTATGGATTTGATAATGTACAAGTTGGGAGTGATCAGGTGGTGAGAGATGGATCTAATGTAACTGGATCAAGCAACCCATGAAAATTTCTTAAAATTTGATCTGAATTTGAGTTTAGGTCTCTGAGAATGACAGACTGACGTCTTTCATTTTGACTGTCTGATTATAATATTTTTAGATGTTTAAGATCTATAAATCTTTTCATTAGGTCATTGAATGTCAGATTAGTATATTATGTTTCAAATTTAACTTATTGAATTTTTACTTTCATTTTCAATAGAAAATTGTTTTATTATGATATCTTAATATAAATGATTATTAAAAAAGTTTCTCTTAATCAGTTGTTTTCAAAATGCTTGCTATGAATTCTAAAGATTTCGAATATACCAACCAAAAGAAGTATTTTTTTTTATTCAAATCAGTAAATTAATATATTAATATTGTGAATTTTATTGAAATTTAGTTTGATGTTTATGATTTTATTTATATTTGTATGTTTCAGCTCTTCATGCTGCTGCTAGTCAAGGAAATATAACAACTATTGACATGTTGTTGGATTTAGGAGCTCCTTTGGAAGCTTGTGACAAAAATGACATGACTCCTTTTCTGTACGCTTGTATCAGGGGAAAAGCAAAGTCCGTTCGCCTACTCATTGAGAAAGGAGCTTCTTTAATGTCGATGGATATGGATGGTCGAACATCTCTTCATTGGTATGCGTTTAACAATTAACAGAACATACTCAGCAAATAATTAGTAGACCATCAAAATACACCTTAAGTTGCTGAGATGATTTATTAAAACAAAACTAATGTTTTCAGCCCATTCAATAGGCCATCTTCAGGTTAAATGAAAAGATTAGAACATTGGTGTTCCAAAATAAATTCATAAATTTAAATATAAAAAAATAACGGAAAATAAGAAAATAACAGAAAATTATATATGTGTAAATATAAATAAAAAAGAAAAAATCAGATATAATAATATTAATAAAAATCCAGTAATAATACTTTAAATAAACAGTAATAGAAAACTATTAAGGTATATTTATAAAACAAGAAATTGTAAACTAAGGTATAATTTAAGAGTTTATAGAAGACTTTTTAACTATGTATTTCCATGCAGATGGTAAGCCTTCAGCATTGCTTGCATTGATGTATTCATCCTCTAATTTGCTCATATAAATTTCAATTTTCTTAGTGCTCATAGCTAATGTTGGGGAGCACAAGGGTTTAACAATATTTGCTTCATCCCATTTTACTATAGAGCTTTGAAAGCACTGTAGTGTTGGATCCTTTCTTGACATTATACTTATGTTCTTTAAGCCCGACTCCCAAACTTTTTGTTGTAACACCAATATATCAATAGTTTTTCTCGATTCTTAGTTGTATGTTTTCATAAGGTATATTGTACACTGTTTTTTTTTTTTAACATTATTCTTGTCATTCCTTAAAATTGTATATAGGTTTGGAGCTCTTTTAAAACCATTTTTACTCTTTGAGGTCTGCAATTTCTTTCATGATGCCTATCGTATTTCTGTAGAATCACAAAGTTCTAAATGTGAACTTTGTGATTCTACTGAGATCATTGTTTGAAGCCCTTGCTGTGCCCATCTTGTAGCTTCTAATCATTTCTATTATTGTCCTTATTTTAGGCACGATAACAGGAATGATTGATATGCTGAAGGCTTACCGTCTGCTTGGAAATACATAGTTAAAAAGTTTTCTATAAACTCGTAAATTATGCCTCAGTTTACAATTTCATGTTTTATAAATATACCTATATAGTTTTCTATTACTGTTTATTTAAAGTATTATTACTGGATTTTTATTATTATTATATCTGATTTTGTTTTCTTTTATGTTTATATTTATACATAATTTTCTGTTAATTTTTATATTTAAATTTATTTATTTATTTTGGAAAACCGATGTTCTAATCTTCTCGTTTTACCTGAAGATGGCCTATTGAATGGGCTGAAAACATTAGTTTTGTTTTAATAAATTATCTCGGCAACTTAAGGTGTATTTTGATGGTATGCATTTAATAAATTATTCTTAACTACATTTAATATCATAGAGATAGCATTTAAAAAGAATCCAAATATGGTAATATTTAGATTCTTTTTAAATGGATTTCAACTTTAAACTTGATTTAATGATTATCAACATTTCCTGGAACACTTAATAATAAAAAAATATCAAAAGCCCATTTATAATGTAGGCCCTTGGACTTATTATTATGCAAAGCTCATCTGATTGTTAGAGAATTTTATGATTCACTTAGTACAGAATTAGAATTTATATTTTATTTTACAAACAGGGTTTCTACTCATCTGGAAAGTCAGGGATTTTCATTTAGTGTTCAGAAAAAGTCAGGGAATTAGCCTCCTTGACTGCCTTGTCAATTTTTTTTCTGACAATATTCTTGAATAAGTATAGTCATCTGCTTGGGTGCAATATAATGCACAGGTTCTCAAACTTATTTTGACCACCACCCACTTTGAGATTAAAAAAAATCTAGTGCCCCCATGTCGGGATAAAACCGTCCGGCATACGATTTCGTGCACTTTTCCGTATTTTCAAACAAACGACGGTTGTCACTATGGAAACGCTGATCAGACAATTTTGGAAACTTGACCGCAGATTGGCTGCAAGACATCGTACGACCAGCAGATGTCTTGTAGCGCTACTAAGTGCTGATTGGTGGAATTCCATTTCCCTCAATCCATATAAAAGGATTGAGTTTAGGCGGGAAGTTTAGTTCGCCTAGGATACATTACGGGAACTCACGTACATCTAGCTTCGCCTAAGCTGGCCTAGAGGATTGTTTCATCTCACTGTGCGGTAACTAACATTGGAAGAAGTTTGTCTCAAAGGTGTCCTTTTCGACGGACCTGTTGTCGTGGATTTAAAGTATTTGAACTTTGTTAAACCTGACATTTTGTAATTGTTGTTTGTGAACCTTTGTAACTGTACATATGTTTTACTCATAATATAAACGTCTTTGTGAAAATTCAGTAATGTCTCGTATATCATTTTGAATTTGACTCCCCATATTTTTTAACTTACCTTTTTATATTACCATTTGTTGCATATCTTAAAAACAGTTATTGCAAATATAACGCTTAAACATGCATTATTATATGGATAGGATAGATAGGGTGTGACCCATATCCTATTTCTGAGATCAAAGAATGTTTCAATGAGAAGAAATAAAACTCATATTTAATCACTGAGCCTTCTACTGCCCCGCTGAAAGCCTCCAGCACCCACAAGGGGATGTTATCGCCTACTTTGAGAAAGGATGATATAACATATGAAAAGGATGCAGAATATTTTCAGGACCCACAATTTTTTTGTGCATACACAAAATTTTCCCAAAATTTTAGCAAACAAAATATACAAGCATACAACAATATCAATTGTTATTTTTAAAACTGCTGTATTAATTATGCAGTATTATAAGTTTGANATAAATATGTACTTTTGTATGTACATGTATTGTATAGGATTTGTTAATGAATAATAAATAAATAATGACTTTTTTTTTTCAAAGCCACATAGATTTATTGTTGTCGATTAATAACAGGGTAAACTATTGTGTTGTTTGGAGAGTAAGTTCGTTTTTTTTCCGTGGAAAAAAACACAATACTTTTATAATAAATAAATATTTTATTGAATTATATATTGACCACTTTGGTCAAATACCTGTTGTCATCGTTTCTGGTAATAGCATTATTTCACATTCATAAAAGTTTCGATCGTTACTTACAAAAAACTGATCCAAGTGATTTTTGACATTGTCATTTTAAGTAAATGTCTTACAGTTAGAAAAAATTTGTATAGACCAGAACAAGTAATAATCTGAGTGTACTTGATCTGGCGAATACGGTTGGTACGATGGTACGTCCCATTTAAGTTATAACAGTTTCGAGTTACCAAACTTGTGTAAAATTTGACATTATTGTGGTAAAACACTACACCTGTTTTGTCGATCAATTCTGGCTGTCTTTTCTGTTTGATGATATTACTCGATTTGTTTACTCGATGGCAGTACACTTTCGAATCAATTGTTAAATTGTCTGGTAAAAGCTCCAAGAAAAATTTCCTTAAAATTCCATCAAAGAGAGCAATTCTCTTTAAGAACATGTGGAACCCATATATTGAGCTTTGAACCGAAACCAATTTGTTTCAAGTAATCATAAACGGTTCAATTTGACAAATTTAATCTCTTAGTGATTTCACGTGTTGTTATTCGGCAGTTTGCTTCAATCGGTACCTTTATTTTGTTTTTGTTGGCTTCAACTGGCCATCCAGAACGTGGTGCATCTTCAATATTGAAATTGCCAGAACGAAATTTTGTAAACCAGTTTTGGCATTCTCGTTCTGTCAATACATCTTCTCCGTACACGTCACACAATTTTTATCTTGCTTGAAGAGCATTCTTACCTTTTTGGTAATAAAAGAGCAAAATATGCCAAAAATGCTGCTTTCGATCTTCCATATTTGATGGGACACAAAATATAAACAATTGCACAAAATCAAACAATATTTTTTACAAATAAGCCTTAAAATGCTAGCTGTCAAAATATATAATGATAATACGGTTTAGAATGAAAATAGCAGGAAAAATACAACTAATCCGTCTAGAGGTAAAAAAAATGAACTTACTTTCCAAACAACCTAATATTTAAATTTAATAAAACAATTTAATTTTAGTTTTAATAATTTGGCAATTATAAAAAATATATAACTGTTAATTAGAAAAAAATAACTAATTAAAAAGTTGGAGAAGTGGTAGCATATGTACATATTAAGTTAAATACTGTTTTATTTTGTCAATGTGCCATACTGTAAGGGATGAGAGTCAGGGAATTTGAACAAAGTTGGTTGGGGGGAAGTCAGGGAAAGTCATGGAATTTAAAAGAAAAATTTGAGTAGGAATCCAGTACAAAACATAAGTAACTTTTTAAAACTTAATAACATAAAATAGGAGCTAATACTGTTTTCTGTTAAAAATTAATAGTGAACACAATACATAATAGAGTTTATAAGTACTGTTAATAAATCAAGTTATCTTTTTTTTCAATTATATAGAACAAAACACTTGTTAGAAGACCTACAGATTACAGTTACAGAATAAAAACGTTAAAACATATAATTTTTAAAATTTGTATTTAAAGTTCGGCGTCTAATTACTAAGATGTTTCAGATCATGAAGACATTGAGATATATAAAAACATATATGAATTTTATTATTTATATACTGGATAAACATCATTCACACATTTTATTTATTATTTATTTTCTTGAACTTTAAAATTAAATTTTAACTTCCTTGGATAGTCTTTGCAATTATGTCTTAGCAATACTAAGATTTTATGCTCTCTCTTCTCTCTATCCCATACACAAAAATACTGACTTTAAGATTTACAAAATATTCCATCTTTTATCTTAATCCATTCTCCATAAAATCAATGTTTTTTTCCCAAAAAACTATTTATATATCACCTATCTGTCTCAACCATTTTTGCAGAGATTAATTTCTAATGATCGGCATTTCTGTTAGCATTACCTCAGAAGTCAGAAATATATATAATCTCTGTTACCATTGTATGCACAGAAAGCTAGAACTTCTATAAATAAGTAATATAAAACTTCAACACTGTTTCCTAGCAATTTTCTTTAATCAAACTAATGTTTTCAGCTAT